ATACGTACAGAAGACCATCCCAGTCGACTAGCATCACAGCATGAGCTCGCAGCCGCGTACCTTACCGACGGACGGGTTAGGAAAGCAGCCAGACTGCTAGAACACGTTGTCGGCATACGTACAGAAGTGCTCGCAGAAGACCATCCTGATCGACTATCGTCGCAGCATGAGCTCGCAAACGCGTACTTTGCCGACGGACGGGTTAAGGAAGCAATTGAGTTGCTGGAATATGTGATCAAGATAGGACGGAGGATCTACGGATCTGATCATCCTCATCAACTAATGTCACAGCGTGTGCTTGCACGAGCATATCACGCCAACAGACAGGTCAAAGAGGCCATTGAGCTGCTAGAATATGTGGTTAGGATAAAACAGAGGACCTACAGATCTGATCATCCCGATCGACTCGTGTGTGAGCGCCTGCTAAAATCTTGGCAGCTTAATGTGCGGCCGAACTGATGTTGAATGGATTCGTATTTGTCTTAACTACCTTTTTTTCGCCTACGCAATTTTCAAGGGCGTTGGTAGCGTGTGATAGAATTGTCTTTTGTTCAATGGCTGTTGTGTTAGCTGATACAGGCTATCTCAAGTGGCTAGATACGGTAGTTTTGTCTTTCAAATAGTGCAGTAGTCAATCACGAAGAAATTAATAAAGCTTCCTTAGCGCTAAAACTTGAAAACTCCTTGCTTCAAGTTGAAATGTGGAGAGAAAATTAGGTTTAATACTATAATGGTCTTTAGCATCCAGGGGTTATTGTTAATTTTAGAGAGGTGTGAGATAAACTCTTTGCTTGGCGGAATTTTTAGCATCAAGGTAGTAAGAGAATTCCGGTACACCAAAGAAAGTCCACTGCACCACCTCTCCGTAGTTGTCTTCATTACCTTTTTGCGATTACACATTTTGAACCTTGGCTGCACATTTACAGAATTGAAAAAAAAGTGTTCTGGGATCTAAGAGTCATTCTGCATACCCATCTATTAAGCTCCAAGATACTACATATGTATCATCATCAGAACTTGGCACCGTAAAAGAACAGATACAAGCAGTCTATGTAATGGCCTTCCTGGAAACCCCACCGCAACTAAACCACACTATTAGGCTTTTAGTTACTATAGATAGTTTATGCCATATTATGCATCCGTGTCTGGACTACTAGCGCAGCTCAAGCCAAGAGCGCAAGCGCTCAAAAGAAAAGAACCCGTACATGTATTTGCGCCTATACTCCTTTTGTGTACACTGCGTGTACATGCATTCCATTCCCCACCCATGATGTTACGTTTTCCCCTTGGAGTTGAAAATTACAATTTTTGGAACATAAAGTTGTCGTGCTTCTAATAAGAAAGGGGCTGGCAGCTGTTGCACTTTCCACTGAGGGTAAAGCATATGGTGGGCATTACTGTTGAAGTCGACGTTGCTTGAGTGTTGATGGTTCTTTGTTCGGAAGAGGTGTCCAAGATCCGGATTTGGGGCCTTGCAGATGGCACGCGACAGGGGATCCACTCGGCAAATGGAATGAGCCCTAACCGGCATTGTCTCCCGCCACTAATGAGTGATGAATACCTCAAAAAGCTTCATGGTAACTCTGTTGCGACATCGGTAATACCGGTGATTTGAGTCCAGTGCTGCTAGTTGCAATCGATTCGGAAGCATTCATCCTCGTTTCAAGCTGAAGTTGGGATCCGACGACCCTGAGGGTAACACGCAGCCCCTTCTTTTTCAATACGTCCACTAAGCTCTGGATTTGAATGGTAAACTTGGTGGCAGCATCCAGAAAATGCTCGTAATCAGCGTCGCTCAACGACGCCTGTGCCAAGTCGACTTCGATTGCAATTTCGGTTCGCGCGGTCTGGATGATACCGAGCGCCTCGATGGCATTACAAAACCGCTCCTCCTCAATCTTCCGGTTATCCGGCAACAAAAAGGCGAAGAGAAGAGGCTGAATCTGTATCTGTAACCGTCGAGCATAGACGGCTGGGGTCATGCCGAACCCAAAGCCATCTGTGCTGAGAAATGGCTCAAGCAGGTACATCTCGTGATGAGCAAACTTAAAAGTGCGTGTCCAATAATAGCACTCTAACATTTCCCGTGCAAGATGGAAGTCCCAGCCTTTTTTGCTCAAACAGGCTGAAACAGGGTCTTCGATCCATCGGTACGAGTATTGGCCGCAAGGTTCTCGAATCAGGTGAGTGAAGCGGTACGTCCTGCCCATGGCAGCGCGGCGCACAATTACTTCATTGTCATAGCTTCCTCCAAGGCAGAAAATGTAAATGCGATTTCGGAGCTCACGTGGCAAACGTGAGAATATGTTCACAACACTGCTGTCTCTACTAGGGGGACTGGTCCGCCTGTCCATGCTTGTGGTAAGTCAGCACCGGCCAGAGTATTCAAATGTTGGCTTGCTCTCACTGTTTCTCAGATTGAATTGGAAGGGAATCGTTATTCGTTGATGAGTGTGACTCGTGCATGTTGTTCCGTCGGAGCAGGGTCAGCGATGATAATATGCTCGCACACCCTTCCTAACGCGGCCGTTGATAGATGCCGTCCCTTCTCTGTGAGCCAAGGCAAGCCGTTCAGAGTTCGCACCACCCCTTCTACCCAGCTCACGGCGAGAGTTGGCGGCGACGCATAATTAAGTAAATTTTGGGAGGAGAGCCTCAGGCCAGATCACGGGAAGCACTAACCTGCAAAGAATGCCTTTTCCCGAGTGGTTTTCCAACACATTTGCGCCTAGTCGGTGCCCTGCAACGCAGTAATCCCGATTAGGAAAGCATTGCGCGAAGCACGGATATTACGGAAGCCCGAGAACTACACAGATTACGCTTTGCTTGACGGTGCGGAATTCACAGTGGCACCGAAAACCCCATCCAAGAGGGCCCGAAACAGCCCAAGACTTTTGTCGACGACTTGACCTTCCATATGGCGTGGCCTGCTCGGTCGCCCCAGTCTCGGTACTACAGAGGGCGTATTTTATCTTTGGTCCAAGTGGCCCCAGCAGGCCAGTGTCAGCCAAGACTGGTTTGCGAATACGATGAATGCTAGTGTAAAGCAGGGCCACATGTTTGCGCATACTCAACGTCTTATCCACGCCACCAGCCCGCTGCATGTCGCTAGTAGCATTATCTCCATGTCACGTGGCAGTACCCCACAATCCTAGGCCCTGGCTTACCGTCTGCAGGCAGCATGCATCCGATCTGTCATCACTCTTCAGACCTTACAAACATTGGTTCGATACTGTCCCAAAGTAGAAGTGTGCATTCTCCTCAAGCACCTATCATTACCCTCTCTGTTCGCCTCTCTACACTACCATCCCGACCGTGCCACACCGCCCCGCGGCACTGAGCATGTCCAGCTCCCCCTCCCCCTCCCCAGCGCGAATCTAGACACATACTGATGGTTCAAGCGCCAATAAACCCGAAACTCATTGTCGGTGGGCATAAGCACTCGGTCTAGTAACATATCGTCTGACACAGCATACCATGGCTGCGCCGTAAGTATGCAGGGAAGAAAGCGTTATTCTAGGTTCCCATTCGGGCCCTTCGGGGACCGCTTCAACAAAATAGTCTAGTACAAAGCTATTCCCGAGCACACGAGTAGTAATCCACACTGTATAACGAGAGCAAGAAAAAAAAATCTCGCAATGCAGCGACTTGGCTGATGGTGGGAACGGCTCGCCACGGGTGAGATCTACGACTACAATGTGGCGATCGTCAGATTGGGTTGTGGTTATCGATGATGACCATAATGCAGCAGCTATAGGTATGGGTAAGGAGGGGGGGGGGCTGCCTGGTATCAAGCTGCCTACCTACCATATTGGCACACTGATGTCTTTGTACGTTTATCCGGGCCGCGATATACTTTTACCCGGTGAGCCCTTGAGCAGTCCCCTGAATTCCATGGATGCTTTCTACATCTCCTGGCCTTTCCCATGACCCTTTGTTCGGCACTACTGCCGTGATACGGGCACTGCCTTCGGAAAGACATGTCGTCTGTATAGCAAGATGCATGCGTACTAAGCGCTTCGGCCCGTGAACCGCAAACTTGGCATTAAGGCTGCTGATCCTGCGCTGGAGAGACGAGTGCGTACAGGCGAGATGGGACTGTCGGATACGGCTTCTTGAACGTTTTACGCTCTCTTCATACCATGATTTCATGCGCATGGCCCGCATATCTGATTAGTAGTGCATTTTCCTGTTGCCTTTTCGGTGCGTTGTCGACTTCCAACTGCCACCTCTTTTTCTGGGCGTCTTGCTCTTGTGGCGCCAAGTTCAGCTTGTGTTGGTTTTTTAACCCGCATTTTCGTCGCATATTCGCTTTTCAGGCGCCCATAATCAACAGTCGGCGACCTCCACAAACAAATAGTGTGTGGCTGCCCAGATGTGTTGGTTCAGCTGATAAGTAAGCTGTGGTGGGGCCATGGGGGCGGAAAGATCGATCTCTTGACCGAGGAGATGGTTTATTTGTACGACGACGTTGGATTATACGAACGAGTCCATACACCAGGGCTGTGCGATCAAGATTGATGACTACTCGATGACGCACCCGAAATTTTCATGGATGTCATTGAATACTCAGGGCGAGTGCGATAACTTTAGTCGATCCAACTGCAACTGCCATTGGTCAGCACTTTGGAATAAGATGAGAATGTCTAGGCAGACGTGGATACCATAGACGCTAAAACTTATATCTCAAGACAACAAGATAAGTTCGGGGCTTACACAGCCCTATCATGGCTTTTTCCTGCACTCCTGTTCATCAATGGCGCAAAGCTAAGAAATGCACACGCGGTTCCTAGACCTCATTGGACTCGAATCCAGCCCGAACCAGCCTCGCGACGGATACGATACGGCCATTTCGGCAGTGCCATGTGCTATGTAGATTTACCGGGCCCTATCAAGAGCTCATGATAGCATGTCCCAATTGTGTTGTTGATGGCTCATCACCAATCGTATTCCAGGGAAGCTCAAGGCTGTCGATGCCCGGACATGACTCTTCCACCATAACGAAATGAAGTATGGGGTCCGATGATAGCATACCAAGATTCTGTGCAGGAGTATTGGAGACCTGGAACAATGACTGGATAGAATACCCTATTTACCGGATCCTAGGCTAAGGCACTAAACAGCGACTTGAGAAGCCACGATGTAGGGGCCGAAGAGTAGGAAAAGATTTGGAACAGATATACGATAGATGAAAAAGGTACCAGGCTTACTATGATAATGACCTGACCGCCCGGTTCCATCAGCACCTAAATCATCACATCTGACGCCTGTCTTCTATGATCGGCATGACACGTAGCGGCAACAACGATGGTGTGTACATTATTGGTCTAGGCCACCAGTACCCCGAGCATGCAATCAGGCAGGAGGACTTTGAGGGACTCCTTCAGCGTCTATACCCCGAGCACGTCTCCTTACCAGCGTCAGTACAATTCGAAATTCCAGGCACATTTTCTCACGTACACAGTGTGCAAGAGCTTATTGGCTTCAACACAAAGACGCAAATCTCTTCCCGTCCAACAATCTTTGATTATACCAAATGGACCAAAAAGGACGCTACACCACCAACACTCAGTTCAACATCCCATGACTTTCGTACCGTAGGCGTCACTCTCGCTGCCTCTGCGTGTAAAAAGGCCATGCAAGAAGCCAGAACCATGCCACAAGAGATTACACACATTGTTGCCGTGACATGCACCAACTCTGACAACCCAGGCTACGATCTCTTTGTGTGCGAGAAACTCGGTCTGGGACCAGACGTCCAGCGCGTTCTTGTCCAGGGCGTGGGTTGCGCAGGAGGATTGTCAGCATTGCGCGCAGCAGCTGACATTGCAGCCGCTGCATCGCTCAAGAGACGAAAAGCACGAGTCGTTGTTGTCGCATGCGAGCTTTGTAGTCTCTTCTTTCGGGCAGAGATGCAAAACATCTTACAAGGCGGAGACGAGACGCTGCGTATAGCACCCACCTTGTTCTCTGACGGTGCTGCCGCACTGGTAGTGTGCAACGAACTTGCATTGGCTCCGTGTCAAATCCCTGTTTACCAATTGAGGGAATGGGCAAGCATGGTGGCGCCGGGGACGTCCAGCTTCATGTCATATAATTTTGGGAAAAACGGTTGGTAGATTGTACTATCTATACGACCGTTGGTGAACTGACTCAGATATCAGGCTTGATAGCCACCATTACGAAAGATGTTCCGAAAGCATCAATTAATGCTATTCCGCCGATTTTCCAACAACTCTGCAACACATCCAACGTCGCTATTAGTAATAGGGTACCGTTGCCTCGGGTTCCAGCAGAATTTGATTGGGCAATTCATCCCGGGGGTGCTGCCATCTTGCACGGCGCCAAAGACTCGCTCGGTCTTACTGACGACCACATCAGAGCCTCTCTCGACGTCTACAAGCGCTATGGCAACTCTTCGAGCGCATCTGTACTCATCGTGCTCGACAATATGAGACACTTTGGCCCTGGTAGAGATGATGTGGTTGCCGTTAGCTTCGGGCCAGGGTTGACAGTGGAAATGTGCATGATGACGCGATGCCGCACCTCAGATCCCCGTAGTATGTCAGTTCATCGACGTCAAAGAGCGTCTTCGTTCTGGGCAGCACTGCACTCCAGATTTTCGAGGAACTCTGCAACACGACATTGTGGCTCATAAAAAAAAATGTAAGCTTGTTGTTTATACTGTGGAATTACGTCTGCTGAGTTGGATGTTGTACATATCGCTACTTTGCAATGAACAAAAGTAACATGGCAATTGAATCGGCAATCACGACATTGCTTTCAACAACAAACATGAATGCAATATATTCACAGTACTACTTACACACATATAAACACGGCAGTCTCGAGAAAGAGTCCGATGTTGCATGGAATCTCGTGGAATTGATCCGCACAATAGTGGATCACGATGCGGAATCGGGCCCGGACCCACGGACAATGCGGAGTCCGGGAGATGAACACCACTACTACTGATTGGATCTTGCCGCGCAAAACCAAGCGACGAATGTTGAACTTTGAACAATTCACACAACAAGGGCAGCGCATCAAGAAAACGCACTTGAACCCTCCTCTTTCTCTCTCCCCCCCTTTTCCCCCTCCCTTCCTTCCACATCCAAAAAAAGATTGGACAGCAGCATGGAAAAGAGTCCGGCAGCAGACGCAACCCAGCAGCGCGATACTACGCCCTCGACCCAGCACTACAACGCAACATGGCACGCGGAAAACCCTGGATTCCAACACAGCAATGGCAAAGACGCTGCCAAGACATCGCAACGAAACTGGTCCTGGTGGTTCACACAACGCGGATGCGAAGCGCCCATGCTCCTCAAATACAGAAGTTCCGACGTCTTCATCATCGGGACAGTGACTTTGGCAGTTTTCACCGTAAGTTCATCATTACTACGACTGATAGTACATGGAAATCTCAAATGCACCACTATTGCATAGTTAGTGGCCAAAAAAAAAGAGAGAAACTAATTCAAAATGCCATGGACAAAAGGACATGTTCCTCTACGGCGTTATTGTGCCGGTGATGCCCTTCGCCATCTCGTCGCGCAGCCACGTGGACCAAGACCGAGTGCAGTACTGGGTGTCGGTGCTCGTGGCCGTGTATGGGGCGTCTCTTCTTGCGTTTTCGCCCGTGTGCGGCTGGCTTGCTGACCGCGGGTCGTCCCGGCGCATGCCGCTTCTTGTGGGATTGCTTGTTTTGCTGGGATCCACGGTGTTGCTGAATCTTGGCAATTCGATTGGGGTGCTGATTACTGGGCGTGTGTTGCAAGGGGCTTCGGCCGCTGTGGTGTAAGGAGCTTTTTTTGTTTTGTTTCTCTCTCTCTCTCTCTCTCTCTCTCTCTCTCTCTCTCTCTTTTTTTTTTCTTTGGTGCGAGAGGGTTAGGTGGCTGACCATGCTTTGCAGGTGGGTTGTTGGGCTTGCGCTGTTGGCTGATACCGTGCCCCAGGATCAGCTTGCCACAGCATCTGGGTGGCTGTCGACGGGCATGTCACTGGGCATGCTGATATCTCCACTTCTGGGGGGTATCGTGTATGATCACGCTGGCTACAATGCTGTTTTTGGCATGAGTTACGCACTAATCGGGCTGGACGTGATTCTTCGATTGCTCCTTGTGGAAAAGAAGGTGGCGGTAAGATGGGATGCCAGTGCGATAGGACGGCGACCAGTCGAGGCGCATGACAGCCTAGGTGGAGACACTACACCACAAAGTGAGGCATCAGATGCTTCCAAAACGCCAGCCCAGTCGGAATCCAGCCAGCTCGAAATGCAGCGGCAAGGACCGCCTCGACGGCGGCTGCGGGATCGCCTTCCTCCCGTTGTATCACTGCTCTACTCCCGACGCTTGCTTGCCTCGCTGTTTTGCGCACTCATTCAGGCGCTTTTATTGACGGCATTCGACTCGGTTCTTGCTATTCACGCTGCGAAAACCTTCAACTGGACAGCAACGGGGGCGGCGCTGTTGTTTCTTCCCATTGTCATCCCGAGCTTTCTCGCGCCGTTTTGGGGCTGGCTGTGCGACAAGTACGGTGGACGATACCTTGTCGTCATCGGGTTCTTATGCGGCTGTCCGCCGCTGGTGTGCTTGCGTTTTGTCACGGAGAATACGATGAGGGACAAGGTACTTTTATGTGCGTTGTTGGCAATCGTGGGTCTCTTCATTGGCATGACGTTTGCGCCCGTCATGGCTGAGATTTCAGCCGTGGCGGAAGCAAAGGAGAGGAGGTTAATTGCAAGCGGACGGCCTGGGTTTGGAAAAGGCGGTGCATTTGCTCAAGCCTATGCGTTGTTCAATATGGCTTTTGCTGGAGGCTCTATGGCCGGGCCATTGCTAGCTGGGTTCATTGTTGAAGCACATGGGTGGGCGACCATGGCAGCGGTACTGGGAGGACTATCTGCCGCAGCCGCAGTACCTGGATTTCTGTGGCTAGGCGGCTGGATCGGCGGGAAGCTGCAAGTTTCGCGGTAGAATAACGTACGAATACTGGATGTGTGTATGAATTGTATGGTAGGCCGGAGCATGCTGGCAACATGCATCTGTTGAAGCGGGCATGCCCAGCCTTGGAAAAATGGTATTATTCTACCTCTGGCAGCACGACATGACACTCCCAGGTCCAGTCCGAGGCATCGACTCGTGGCTGCGGCGCTCATGTCCGGTCCGACGTGAGCGCATGTGAATCCGGGGGATTGATGACAGGCTGGTTTGCGGGCCTTTCCCGTCGGCGGGTTGGCTTGCATGCAATGGAGCCATCACACGACCGGTGATGATGGAGGTTGAAAAGTGGCATCTGGTCACATGGCGGCTAGTCTGGGGTATGCTGGGGAACTGTGGGGTACCTCGCCCCGGCCACCCGCCATGCTCTGACTGCTAACCAGCTTTGTCCAGGGTCCAGACAGACTACACAACTGACCGCCTTGCGGCAACGGCAAACTACTCACGGCCTTGGGCTGCCACAAACGACTTCAGCGCTGCTATAGGCCAGGGTCGAGATCAGATGACGGAGCGGATACTAGCCAGCGCCCCTGCGCCAAGCCGAGGCCCATGGCAGATGTACCTCAATCACGACCTGGACATTGTCATTCGCGACGTCAAAAACGCCATGGAACTCCCAAGACTCTGCTTCGCCGCCGATCAGGTCGGAAGCCGAGCGATGATGTGCTCGTATTGACTCGGCACATGTGCTACGGCGAACCCCCGATTCTAGCGTACCGGTGCCCGTCTTCTCGGCACAGAGAACAACGCACGAGCAAGTGCATGTCGACATCACGTGCCGGCAACCCTGTCTGCACTTGCAGGGCCGTGTGACTGCATCACCGTTGAGAGCAGGGCGAAGGTGTCGTCCATGTACATGGTTACCGTGTACGTCTGCCGCCAAGTGTCGCTTGCAGGCATCACATGCTACGTCACCACCCACTGCTGCCCTCGTCGCACTCTGCGCGAAATCCCCATCTTGTGCCCAAACGGGCATTTGTCATGGATGGTCCGACTTTCACTCTCATCATCCGAACCCGTAGCCAATCATGGCGCGAGCACGCTGGCTGATTCAGACATCTCCACTCCGCACAGACTCGAGTAGCAAGAGACCTGCCTATTCTGCTCCCCAAGACTCTCCCCGCTCACTTGCCATCGTCATGTGCAGGCCAGGACTACAGCCATTATAGTTCCCGCGAGCGAACCATGGTCGCTATTGCAACGACCTGGCTGGGTATGTTGGCATTTCTTTGTATGCTCACGCTCGGATTCAGTATAAAAGTGACCTCCGTGACCGCGTCTTGACCTCTCTACTCCAGCAACTCATCCTGCCAACACAATCGGAGAGCAACATCATTTTTGCAATATGCTTCTCACCAAACTCGTTTCGACCTTGTCGTTGTGCGCCGCCGTTCTGGCTGCTCCTGCGTAAGTGATGCGCTGGTAGCATCACTGCCAAAGCAAACATCACATCGTGTCCCCGCTGACTTTTCTTTTAGCCAGCAGAAGCGTGCAGTCGGCTTCAACTGGGGATCTGAGAAGATTCGTGGTGTAAACATTGGTGGATGGCTGGTCCTGGAGCCGTAAGTAACTTGGGTTGTTTTATGCTTTGCGGCATCCGCTAACCTCCTTCCACAGTTGGATCACCCCGTCAATCTTCGACAACGCAAACAGAGGCCGTCCACAAAACGACATTGTTGACGGTAAGCTGCATGCCTTTCACACCGAAACTGATCCTGATAACGCGCAGAGTACACATTGGGAGAAAAGCTTGGCAGCCAGAATGCCCTTAACATCCTTCGTAACCATTGGGATACTTTCGTTACCTGGCAAGACTTCAACAAAATCAAGCAGTCTGGCTTCAACGTTGTCCGTATCCCCATTGGCTACTGGGCATACGATACCTTTGGCTCGCCCTACGTCAGTGGAGCAGCTGTCTACATTGATGCTGCCATCGACTGGGCTCGCAGCGTAGGCTTGAAGATTCTCATTGACCTCCATGGTGCACCTGGATCCCAGAACGGGTTTGACAACTCTGGCCAACGCATGGATCGCCCTACGTGGCAGCAAGGCGACACTGTCCAAAGGACCCTTCAAGTTTTGCGCACAATCTCCCAGAAGTACGCACAGAAGAGCTACCAGGACGTCATCATCGGTATTGAACTGCTCAACGAGCCCGCACTTTACAACGGCCTCAGTCGTGATGTTCTTGCACAGTTCTATCGCGACGGTTACGGCCAAGTGCGCGAGGTTTCCGACACCCCAGTAATCATTTCTGACGGCTTCACTGCGCCAAACTCCTGGAACGGCTTCCTCACGCCCTCAGACGCCAACGCCCAGAATGTAGCCATTGACAACCACCAGTACCAAGTATTCGATTCTAACCTGCTCAAACTGTCGCCCGCTGGACACGCCCAACAGGCCTGCAGCAACACTGGCGCATATGGCGGTGCAGACAAGTGGACCTTTGGTATGTTCAAGAAGATGCGATACAATCAACTCTTGCTGACTTATACGTTGTAGTTGGAGAGTGGACATCAGCCATGACGTAAGCATGACCCTTTCACACATGACAAAAAAAAGCACACAAACTAACTGGCGACAGGGACTGTGCACGTTACTTGAACGGCTACGGCCGTGGTGCCCGCTATGATGGTACCTACTTGGGCAACCCCAAGTTGGGCGAGTGCGGCTGGCGAAACGACCTAGCACAGTGGCCCGCCTCTTACAAGGACGACTCGAGACGCTACATCGAGGCCCAGATCCGCGCTTTTGAGTCGACGACCCAGGGCTGGTTCTGGTGGAACTTCAAGACTGAAGGTGCAGCTGAGTGGGATGCTTTCAGGCTCATCGACGCTGGTGTCTTCCCCGCCATCAGGAACGGTCAGGTAGAGTACAAGTTTGGTGCTGCCTGCTAAAGAAACATGGCTCGACAACTGGCTCGAAATTTTACTTGTTGCACCTCCAGAAGGGGCTAGACGGGCTGAACGCAATGGCAAAGGAAAAGCAAAGCAGGCATTTGCAATTGCATAGAGTGGCCTGGCTCTTGTTGTTCAGTTCGATTAACGACTTATGATGATTTTGAATAACGACGTACACGATAGCAATGAGAATTTTTTCCACACACTTTTTGTGCAAGCACAAGATAAGCGCTGGGGAGAGGGGCAGGTAAATAGTTATGCAATTGTGACCGTGGACAGTGGCTAGAAGCAAAAAGCAAACTAAGCATGGGGGGGTTACTGTTACACCTGGGGTGGGAAAAACACAATCAGTGGTACCGCGTCTTGCCAGTCCAGAACTTCTTAGTATCGTACCACACTTTACATCTACTATCCACTCCTGACACGCTCATGACCTGTGCCAATGCGCAAAAGCTGAATCCCCCCTCCGCACACCTCGCCATTAACACTAGCTCCGTCAAGTATATCTCCGTGTATACACACCCGACAACCAGAAATCGTGCAGATCGGCCCTCCCCCCCCCAGATTCTTTCTTTCCCCAGATCCCCCAGTTAGCGACTCCACAATTCTTCGCATCCCAAAAGTGCAAGACCGGCAGCAGAACAAGCGCCGAAGACCAGCCACCACCCAAGAGTTTGCCGTTGCCGTTGCGTGGTGTTAAGCCTGATTGCGGGTGCCCAGCGCTGCAGGCCAAGGCGTTTGTGGCTTGCGCCTATGCCGACGGACATGGGGTGGAAGCTGGAGTTTTAACTACAGGTCGCTTCTGGCCATTGAGGTAGCACGACTAGCAGTGCGGGGAAAACGCGGAGGATGGAGGGAGGAAGGAGCTGAAGCAATGTATGCCAATGCTTGCCAAGTTTTGTGATAGGGAATTGGGAAACGCAGCGAGGACCGGTGTGTTGAAATATTGTGGGCTGCGCATTGCACCCCCCTCGTCCCTCCCCCTCCGCCCGTTTGTCCAGCTATATAGTCCTTTGATCTTCCCCAGATTCCCAGCTCTCTTTTTTTCTTTTCTTACTACTACTACTACTTGATTCTTCAAGTCTTTCCATCTTTGAAAGAAAGATATAGTAGGAAAAGGGTTTGTGGCAAGAAGTTTCAAGTTAACAATGGCGTCAAAGCACCCACCACCACCAGCCGTCGAGCCCACCGACGAAAAACCAACAATCATATCGCACATTGACGACAAGTCCGAGATCGGCACGGAGAAACATGCATCAGCAGCTGCCGACTACACGGGCGCGGAACGCAAGAGTGATCCAGAGGAGATTGCCTTGGTGAGGAAGATTGATTGGAGACTCATGGTACATTCTCCCCCCCCCACACCCCCATATACATTGGCCTTGTTAGCATGCCAATGCCAAAGGACGAAGAAGAACGAAAAAGCTAATTCGCAACCGGGAAAACAGCCAACCCTAATGGTCATGTACTTCCTCAACTACGTCGATCGCAACGCAATCGCGCAGGCACGATTGAACAATCTCGAAGAAGACTTGGGCATGACGGGCGTACAGTTTAATACTTGTGTTAGCATGTGAGTAATATCCACAGACCCCCCTCTTCTGTTTAAAGAGAGAAGAAAAAAAAAGGCAAACGGTGAACTGATATTGCAAACGCAGTCTCTTCGTCGGCTACGTCCTCATGCAAGTCCCCTCCAACATGCTCATCACGCGCATCAAACCCGGCATCTACATGAGCAGCTGGATGTTCGTCTGGGCCATTGTATCCGCCTGTACGGCTCTTGTTCAGAATTTCGGCGGCATGGTTGCCTGTCGGTTTTTTCTGGGCATTACTGAGGCTCCGTAAGTGGACCTTTTTTTTCCCTCCCCCCCAACCAAAATCATTCCTTTTCACACACACACACACACACACACACACACACACACATACACATTTTTGTTTTGTGTTGAAGGGCTCCGTTCTGACAGCAAATGTGTGTGTTTTATTTTAGGTTTTACCCAGGAGCTACGTATATGCTTTCGATTTTCTACACGAGGAGAGAAGTAGCGACTCGTATTGCTTTGTTGTACTGCGCGCAGATTCTGGCGACGGGGTTGAGCGGGTTGATTGCTGCGGGTGTGTTCCAGATGGATGGGCTGAGGGGGATAGCGGGATGGAGGTGGTTGTTTATTATGTGAGTCTTTTTTTTTCTTTCTTCTCCTTTTTTTTCCGGATATGTAGTGTGGAAAATGGGTTACTGACAACTGGTAGTGAGGGCGCGGTAACGGCTTTCGTGGCCATCTTTGGCTTCTTTATGCTGCCCAATACGCCATTGACGACGCGCTGGCTGTCTCCTCGCGAGCGCGAACTCGCACATGCGCGTATGGAACGTGATCGCATTGGCGATTCTACCGACGATGTGAGCATGATGGATGGACTCAAGCAGGCGTGCAGAGACCCGCGGACGTGGCTTTTCTGCTTGATGCAGAATTTCCATCTCAGTGCTTGCTCGTTCAATTCTTTCTTTCCAACGTAGGTCTTACTTTCCTCATTTTTGTTTTGACGAAACAAACGCTTTTCTAACGAGAATACCTCAGTGTCGTCAAAACTCTCGGCTTCAGCACCACAATCACCCTCGTCCTTACCTGCCCTCCTTTCCTCTTCGCAGGCGCAGCCGGCATCGCCACGGGCTGGAGCTCCGGCCGCATGCACGAACGCACCTGGCACATCACCTGCGGCCTGCTCGTCGCAGTCGTGGGTTTCGTCATTGCCGCCAGCACACTCAACACAGCCGGCCGGTACATTGCCTGCTTCATCTTCCCTGTCGGCGCATACTCTGTCAATTCCGTCATCATCGGATGGGCTTCCTCGACGCTCAGCCAGACAAAGGAGAAGAAGGCTGTAAGTCATCATCTTTTTTTCCGGCTTTCTTGGCATGTTCTCCAACTAACTAATCACAGGTTGTACTCGCAATGACGAATGTTGGAGGCCAAATTGGTTACATATACGGTGCCTATCTCTGGCCCGAGACTGATAAGCCGCGATATGGCATCGGATTTGGTGCTTCGGCAGGCTTTGCGCTACTGTCTATCCTGTGTGCGTGGATTATCCGCGCTATGCTTATCAAGGAGAATAAGAGATTGAGGCAGTCGACGAATGAGCGGATCATGTTGTACGGATACTGAGACCGGAAAGTAGTTGATTGGAAAGTTAGTCTTACGATTGAATGATCATTTTGGATTTCCTGCAAACAAGAGAGTGCATATCATTAGTAAATAGGCGAAACTTTATTTGAACGACTGTGGTATGATGAACCCTTTCATCAGCCTTTTCTTCACTAATTATTTGATGTGACAAAACCAGATACCTAAGGTCCCATATTCTCAATGACCAGCCAAACTAGCTTATCTTGATCCCCCTCCTCAATATTCCTCGTGTCAGCCGCTCCCGCTTTGCCCTTGCGGGTCGCATTCTTAGCCTCGCGCCACTCCTTCCTTGCCTCACGCCACTCCTTTCTTGCCGCCAGCTTCTCCTTTCTCAAACCCTTCTTCTTCTCCTTATATGCCTTCTTCTGATCCTTCCACTCCTTGCTCTTCTTCACTTTGCCCTTGCCTTTTGCACCAGAAGCGGCGCGGAGCTCCCTCTTGCGCTGGCGATGCTGCTTCTTTAGTTCGCGACTGCGTTTCTTCACGTCACGCATCGCAGCGCGTTTAGACTTTTTGGCTGCGAGTTTGCTCTCGAGTTTCTGCTTGTCTTGCTCGAGCTTGTTGATGGCAAAGGCACGTTCGCGTGAGATTTCTTCAGGCGTCTTGGTACCTTTTGCGGCACTTTCTGCAGCCTTTTCATCAATGGAGCGTAGACGCTTGGAAAAGGTGCTTTCGGCATCGTAGAACTCTTCATCGTCTGAGTCGCTGTCGGAATCAGAGTCGGAGCTGTCTGAGGAGAGCGAGGATGTATCCGAGTCCGAGTCCGAGTCCAAGTCGTCGACATACTTTTCCTTGCCCTTGCCCTTTTCCCTCTGTGGAGCAACATAGTCTGTTTGAATCTTGTGATCACCAGGTACGATACCAGTTTCTTGACCCGACTGGGGCTGGTATGATGGCGGTCGATCATCGTGTGCCTGCCCATAGGTGGTAGGCCTAGGCATGCCCTGCTGTCGGGAGTTGCTGCCGCTCGCCGTTCGTCCAATATCTGTACCCAATCTGCTCGCACGCTGACCAAATTGCATTCCCAAATCGCCCATCATCTTGCCAAACTCTTCTCCAATCTTTCCAATCTCTTTGCCTACTTCTGCCCATTCTTTGCCAATGGAGTAGTCCCCTTGTCGTGATGGCCCCGCTGCACCACAGTGTCCACGACCGCGCCTGGAACGCGGCCCATTTCCAGCGGCGCCAAACGGCCCTCGACCTGGACGCCCAAAGGGGGGAGCATTGCCAAAGCCACCAAGCGGTGCATTGCCAAATGCTCCAAATGGTCCACGCCCTGGTGCGCCAAACGGCGACCAATTTCCTGTCGGGCCACCAGGTTGCTGGTCATGCCTGTAATAAGTTTCTTCCGATCTTGTCGGAACTGAATGTGGTGGGTCGTCGTATGTGTTTACACGAGCTGTTTGACGAGAGAAGCGCTCACCCATTTCGTGCAGTATATACATGTGCTCACTTGGCGATGGCAGCTTCTCGGTATTGAGCGGCTCGATCCATGGAGTCAATCTTTGCGCGCGTATAGCAGCAGATCTAGGCTCTTCTACAAGACGGCTAGCAACTGCCGCCCGTTGTCCCGGTCCTGAAGGAATAGGCAGAGTTGCAAGAATCGCTGTTTCACTGCGGAATGACACTCTCAAGCCCCGTGGAGCAAAAAACGCCTCATTGGCTCCTCTGATGTACTGACCGACAAGGCTCGAAGATTCGTTTCCGTACATTGATTCATGTAGTAGATCAGCGGCTGTTGTATTGGTCGATCTGAGTAGGACATTGAGACCACGCAGGAAGTTCAAGAATTGGTCTGGGTCAACCCCATGTCCATGCAGTGTTTGGGTGTATGCGCACAGGAACTGCTCATGCTCTCCAGAAGGCCTATCAGAACCTCCCTCGCCAGGGATAGCAATGATCCTATTCAGATGTGGCGCATAGCGTGCAGCAGAATCGGGTTGATGGCGAGTAAACTCCAAAGCCTGGCTAAGCATAGCAGAAGCCAAGTCGTTGGTTGTCTGAGGTGAACGGAACTCGCTACCCATGCGCCCAACTGGGATGTTCTCTGTGGAGCTGACCTGCTGGACGGGAACACTGGTGGCCTTGTCACTCCTATGGTTTGCATAGTCTGGAGCATGTTCCTGTTCACTCGCAGGGTCCGTCTGCTCTCCTCTGATTCTGTATTCCCAGATTTCAGGCTCATTGGGTCCCTCGTTACGGGTGATGCGATGGGCTTCAATTTGGTTCGGATCTACAGGGGCAATGCCATTGCGTGCATCGTGGAAAGCCTGGTGCCTCGCGTCCTCGTAAGATGGTGGGAGGTCGTCATATTGGGGGCCTCCTGGACTATGTGTAGGCGTTGGCTCAAATTCATTGTCTGAAGAATCGGCAACAGATGTAGCGCTCGGGGTGAATGCCACGTTTGACTGGGACGATACGGATGGAGGGGATGGGTGTGGTGTCAGGTTTGGATCAGCGTGGTATGAAGGGGGTCCAGCCATGACGAGTTATGCAATGACGGTCGCAGGAGCAAAGGTGAGAAGGATGGAGACTGGGAATGCTGAAGCTGGCCCTATACGTCTAATATGCCTGGTGTTGGTAGGACATGCACAGCCGTCAAACTGCTGCCTTGAGATGAGGGCACCGTCCAATCGCAACGTGGAAATGGACTCTGATCCCGAGCCGAGCAGTTAATTGACCAGACAAAGCAATTTGATTTGTTGAGAAGATGGTGTCAACACGAGGCCGCAAAAGCACATGCGCAGCAGCATCGCTTGCACTCGTGTTGATACTATTAGGTGGGCTGTGTGGAGCGGGGCAGAGCGCCACACCGCGCGTTGATGCGTCCAGGTGGCGGTGTACGTACTAGGAGCCAGAACTTTGGCCGAACCCCCAGCGTGGTCACCGATTGCGATCACGGCGGGCCGTTGGACAGTGCACGCACACGTACAGCACACGTGCGTGTAATAGTACCGAAAGTTGAAAATTACTTTTCTGTGCGAGCGAGTGAGAGGTCAGAAGATAGGCGGTTACGGGATTGTACCGGCCTTACACTAAAACCTGGTAATGCAATGCCACGGTGTATGACCCCACTCGGAGTGTCCAAGATGGCATCACGACATCGATACTCCCGGAATGTTGCTTTGCAAACCTTTGCTTATTCGATTCTCTGCGTCAAACTCACTATATGCGTGCTGCATTCTGCGCATATTACCTGTGCTCAAACGCAACCCAAGGAAGCGTAAAGAAACCAAAATAACGGCAGTACACTGTACATACTACATACATACCACTGAAACACTAGCAACATGGGTAAAATTGGCACAGTTGCCGTCATAGGACTAGGTGAGATGGTATTCCACGGACTGTACCAAGAATCCTACTAATTCGGCTACGCAGGACCAGCAGGCCTTGTAGCGTTGAAGAATCTCAAGGAGGAGGGGTTCGAAGCTGTCGGGTTCGATCGAAATAGCTACATTGGAGGGCTATGGCAGTATTCGACAGAGGAGCGGACGTCGGTGATGGAGACCACCATGGTCAACTTCTCCAAGGAGCGCATGTGCTTCACGGACTTTCCGTTTCCCGACCATATTGCCTCGCATCCTACTGCAGCACAGGTACAGCAGTACCTGCTAGCCTACGCCGCCCACTTCCAGCTCGAAGCCTCGATTCGGCTCAATACCCACATTGCCCAGATTACGTTTGACCAAGAACGACAAAAGTGGATCGTACAGGTCCAAGGGGAGGATACACAATACTTTGACAAGGTAGTCATAGCTACTGGCGGCATAGTTGGCAAGGCACACATGCCAACGGTCGAGGGCATGGACAAGTTTGCTGGTATAAGTATACACTCGCAAGCGTTTAAGCGGCCTAGCGACTTTAAGGGGAAGAGAGTCATGGTCGTCGGGTTTAGCAACAGCGCGGCAGATACGGCAACTCAACTGGCTGGCATTGCAAATAAGGTTTACATTGCGCACCGTCATGGGGCAAGAGTTGTAGGTCCACCTTGGCATGCCTGGGGCCGAGAAGATCTCTGGACTAACCGTATCTTGACAGCTACCACGACACATCAACGGCGTTGCCATAGACCATACACACAGCCTGCGTCTCTTCAAGTTCCAAAGCCTCATTACCAAGTACTTTCCAAAGTTCAGCGACAAGCCGTTCGATAGGTTGATCAAGAGAATACAAGATAAGAGTTTTCGTGTTCGCCCCGAGTGGCGCTTCGAGCCAGCGGGCAAGGTGCCCATCGTATCCGACAGCCTGGTTCCTTGCCTGGAAGAAGGCAGTGTTTCATCTGTTGCAGGGGTAAAGCGAATTGTGTCGGAGACAAAGGTAGAGCTTGACGACGGAAGCAGCATCGAGGTCGACGTCATAGTTTGGTGCACAGGGTACAAGTCTGACTTTAGCATTATTGAACCAAAATTTGATCCTACGTGTCGTCCACAGCGGTGGCTGGATGCACCCGGGTCAAACGGCAAGTCGCTATTTCGGCTCTACCACAACGTCTTTTCAGTGGAGAAACCAGATAGTCTAGCGTTCCTGGGGAACGTGCAGATCACAATTGCAAATTTCCAGCAATTTGACCTAGCCACCATGGCCATTGCGCAGGTTTGGGCAAACAAGTCACAGCTACCCCCTCGCGACACAATGATTGCTGCAGTGGAAAAGGAGCACGAATGGCTCATTGATCTGGCACGGCGCACCCCGAACGTGTCACCAGCCCACTGCAATATGGGTGTATGGATACGGGCCATGGACCGTCTCGCCGGGACAGGAGTCAACGAGTATCTGGGCTACGGGCCCAAGGGCTTGGGGTTCCGGCTCAAAGAGCCAAAGTACAGCAGCCTCCTGACGGGAGGCATCTGGAGCCCACATATCCACCGTGTTTTCGATGGTAAGAGGAAGCGTTGGGATGGTGCCAAGGAAACGATCATCCAGACCAACAAGAGAGTTCGCGAGTCGAAGCGGACAAAGGGGAGAGCTGCTTGAGCCCGCTGCGCTCGCAGATTATGTAATTTCGTTCGTACATGAGGCGAAGCTGTGTATAGTAAGTAGTACTAGTAATATGTACATAATAGTAGTAAGTTGGGTGTGGTTCTTGTTCGCGAAGATGCGAGGGAGTGCTCGAATGTTCCTTTCTGGACAGCTTCCCCACCATGACGCGATGGTCCGCGGCGAAGGAGGCAGGCAGACAGCGACTCTGACCACGACGCTGGAATGGTCTCATACGGTATAACTCTTCCAACACTGCCATCTAGACACGACACGACACGACTTTGTATTCGTTCGCATAACTAGTGGAAATCTGACAGGCGTGGCGGTCACTACACAAGGTCGCGGCTTGGCCAATCACAGCACAGACTGCTGGGCAACGCATCTGGTGCACAGCGCAACAGACATATCATTTCGATTTGTTTCCACGCGCAACCCCGCAAAACATTGAAACACGTCAATTCCCCCCAAGACTGATAGTCGCTTTCTGTCTATCGCCTGTCCAAAGAAGAAAAATCACCATCGCCGACCGACACACACATACACGAATAGTCGAATTGCCTGGGAAACACGCAACAACCACATCCAACATGGCGACGCAGACACTGCACGGCTCCTGTGCATGCGGACGGAACCGCTATGTCGTTGAGATACCAGCACAGCAAGTGCGCCAAGCTGAGCTGAGATACGACAATACTCCAGCATCGCGTAAGTACTAGATACATGCATGCCGGCTGCGCGCGGGGATGCTCTGGACCATCATGGTGCTGTCGCTAACAAAGTATAACAACTACAGGATACCATGCTGCCAGCCCTCTCACCCTCTGGCTGCGCGTGCCTCTGCCATGGTACACGTCGGCTACATTCGCCCAATTCCCCGACGAGACACGACTGAGCATCAAGCGCAACTTCGAATCGCCCTTTGCCTCCCACACCCGCCGCCAGTTCTGCGGATACTGCGGTACACAACTGTCGTCGTGGGACGAGCGCACACGCGATGACGCCGAGCACATCTCCCTGACCGTCGGCAGTTTGTTGGACGAGGACCAGGAACTGCTGGGTGACCTCGGCTTCATCCCCAGCAGCGACAGTAGCGACGACGAGGGCATGTCATCCGCTGCTCCCTCCCGTCCAGCCTCTTCGCGCACTGTCGTCCGCTCGGGTCCCCAGTCTCGCGGCGCTCCCTGGTTCGAGGAGATTGTACGCAACACTCGCCTTGGACGCTTCAAGCAGCAGCGCGGTGCACACACGGACAGCGGCGTCCACGTCGAATGGGAAGTCACGGAATGGACTGAAGGCGACGGCCTCGATCTCGACGATGAGGGCAGCGCCACTCCCAGCAAGCGCAAGATTGGCGACATCGATGACGCTGAAGACACGGAGATGCGCGCCGCGTAGATCTCGGCCTCTTTCTTTTTCACGTATGGTATGACTTTGACTTGACATTCACAACGACAATAGATTTGGCGCCGCTCACGCCTCACGGGACAAGACAATTAGTAATCATCGGTCCTCTGGCAGGGCGACATGGGCTTGGAGTTTTGTAGGTGCGTTTCTTTTGTGTATACCATTATGTGAATACAGTATGGTGCATGTCACTTCGCCCTGTTTGTAACATGACCATTTCCTTCTCAGATGCATCAATCTATTCACTTTCCTTCATTCCAATTCTCGCATGCACCCCTCATATTTTGAACACAGTTCCATCGCACCGCCAATATGTCCTCACTTCTCTTTTGGCATCCAGGCCTTTGGCGTTCGACATTCCGTCTTGGAAAACCAATCAAACCCATCAGAGCGGAAAGGGACGCGCGGGGGTGGGCTCGGCACGTATGTCTCTCGCTAGTGCACAGCGACTCGCAACTTCATTGACAACACGGTATGTCGTCGCATAGAGACAAGTGGGCGCTGCTCCGTCTCTTGAAAAAAGAGATCTCATAGGTTGACAAGGTGACTTCGTTGTCCAGGCGCTTCGTTGTCCAGCATTCGCAGTGGGAGGCCTTGCTAATATATCATGAACATCACTTATCTCGCCTTACCTCATTCTGTTATTCGACCGGCCTCTGCGTCGAAAAAGGAGCGCTTCCATACTCCCGGGTATGGAGTACAAGTCCCGCTTATTCGCCCCCGATATGGTTCGTACCTGCAACACACAAGGGTTGATTATCTACACCCTGGGATCGACTATCTGCACCCTGCAATGTTCCCGGCATGGTCCGCTTTCTTATCAGCTCCGAGCAACATAACACGATTAATCTCACCAACCCGCATGCGTCGTTCCACTCCCTGGCTTCAATGCCGGCATAGATTTTTCTCTAGTATGGGTGTGCTCCTCGGGTATCGTCTTAACCTGGCCGCTTTTTTCTGCCGTCATTCTTTGAGCATGCAAGCATTGTATGGGGCGAAAGTGCAACGGCATCTAGCTTCTGCTGCCATTATCATATCGCTTAGCATATGTATTTACGTGAAGGGGCCATAATTGTTTTGCAATCTGATAGATAGACGCGTGCGGATCCACTGCCTCTAGTGCCGCGGATGAATATCGAAGAACACAAAGACGAACTGTTTGCTTGTTTCCTTCATCCTACACCGTCCTTGTTGCGCGCCGGCCGACTATCAGCATGGATATGGACAGGAAATTGTCGTCAGAGAAGCCAGCGTCAGTGGACGTGGATGAGGCAGCAGGTGTAACTGAGGTGTTGAACGCCTCGGGACACAAGCAGGAACTTGAGCGCAACTTTAGTTTACTCAATCTCTGCGCCATTGGTATCACGACTGGCAACGTTTGGGCTGCGTTGGGAGGCTCTATTGTATGTTGACTCCGTCTCCCTACATTAAAAGCCCCAACCCAACGAATTCCGCTGACTTGCTTTAGGTCATTGCGCTCTACAATGGCGGGCCTGCTGGCGTCATTTACGAATTCATCACTGTATCGTGCTTCTACTTCATGATTGCGGCATGTATTGCAGAAATGGCATCTGCTATCCCTTCCTCTGCTGGCGTATATCATTGGGCGAGCGTAACAGGCGGGGCGAAATTCGGCAAGGTCATAGGTTTCTATGCTGGATGGTACGTACAGTGGAAAACACCAGACGGGATAGAAGTTAACTCGAGCCAGGTGGAATGCTTTGGGCTGGATTTTTGGCACAGCATCCATAACCTCGATCCTCTCGACCCAGATCATTTCCATGTACGGCCTATTCCACCCAGGCTATGCCTATGAGCGCTGGCACGTCTTCATCGTGTATCTCATCCTGACTTGGATCTCCTGCGCCATTGTCATGTTCGCAAATCGCGCCCTCCCGAAACTGACCAACATTGGTCTCTTCTTCATCCTTGTGGGTGTCTTCGTCACCATCATGGTATGCGCAATCATGCCAAGTAGGACGGGCAAAGGATACGCGAGCAGCGAGTTTGTGTGGAAACAATGGTCGAACCAGACAGGGTGGAGCAGTGACGGCTTCGTCTTTTGTGCGGGAATGCTGAACGGAGCTTTTGCCGTTGGTACACCGTGAGTAGTACATCACTCTATCTACACTTGTATTATATGCTAATCCCTTCCTCAAAGCGACTGCGTATCCCATCTCGCCGAAGAACTTCCCCGCCCACGCACCAACATCCCCAAAGCGATTCTCGCTCAATACGCAGTCGGCTTTCTGACTGCCTTCTGCTACATCATCGCAATCTTCTACTCGGTCAACGACCTCGAAACCCTCTTCTCCAACCCCTGGCCCTTCCCCCTCGCCGAACTCTACCGTCAAGCCACAAACTCGCACGGCGGCTCCTTCGGCCTCCTCATCGTCATCTTCCTCCCCACCTTTTGCACAAACATCGGCTGCTACATTACCAGCGGCCGCATGCTCTGGACCCTCGGCCGCGACGACGCCACACCCTTCAGCCACTGGGTCGGCAAAATCGACACCAAATGGGAGAACCCCTTCAACGCAACGGTCGCTTGCGGTGTCATCAACACCGCCCTCGGCTGCATCTACATTGGCAGCAGCACCGCCTTCAACGCCTTCGTCGGCTCCTTTAGCATCCTCTGCTCCCTCTCCTACCTCGCATTCATCGTCCCCAACATCCTTTCCCGCCGCAAACGCGTAGTCAGAGGACCCTTTACAATGTCCGACCCGGTCTTCTACATCGTCGCTTGTCTCGCCAGTGGCTACATGGTTGCTTGGATCCCCATTTACTGCTTCCCGACCGCGAGGCCGTTTGATTACACCACGATGAACTATACGAGTGCGTTGACGGGCGGAGTGACTATTTTGCTGGGAGGCTGGTATTTGTGGATTAGGAATAAGGGATATGTGGGGCCAAGGCGGTTGGTGGAGAGTTTGCAGAGTGGGGAGGTGCCTGGGTTGGAGGGGGAGGAGAAGATGTGATGGGGGGGCCCGCGGGGTTTGGGATGAGTGGGGTTAGGGTGGAAGGGAAATGGAGAGGGGTTTTTTTCTTGATGATATTTTGTAGCTGTTTTGCTTCAATATGATTATTGATATTACAAGAGTGCATGCGGCCTTTTTTGATCCAGTGTCTTACTAGCCATATCAGCAAGAAACCCAGCAGACGGAAAATATGCGTCTAGAATATTTGTTAAAAGGAAACAGTAATTTCATAGTTTGCATGAAGAGCAGTGTAGTTGGCATAACCTCTCTGAACTAAAGTTTCGGCCCATCATTCCGGATAATACCGCCAGCTTGTATCTGCCGACAAGCTTATGCCGACATATTTGAAATCCCATCGTGCGTTATTTTTTTTTCTTAAATCGCTGATGAAATGGAACGGCAAAAGATGATTGTGGAGTTGGTATGTATCAAATTGTGTGAACTGCAGTATGGTGTTAAAAGACTTGTCAGCTCAGTGTTTTCTGTTTTGTTTTTAACGGAAACAAAATGAGTCTCGTCTATAGCTGGAATTTCTTGTCGCAAAGGGGGATTAAGATGGTAGGGAAGATCTAGCTGCTCTTGGCAGTGTGAATAGTGCCTTTTTTTTGCTTCTGAGTAAGTTGGTGGTTTGTAGGTACTTTAGAATGAATGTAAGAGATGCATGTAGGGAAAAACAGAGAAAATGAATGGTGATAGAAAGGATATGTTGGAGTGATATGAATTTGAAATGTATGCATAGTGCGAAGAGGTTACGTTAATTTCAGAGTATGGGGGTACTTCGGTTTGATTTGATTTGTTTAACGACTTCTTGTGGAGATAAGGAGGTGGTGTCGCTGTTGGATCACCTCTACATACTAACCACGATGAACTCAAATAATACTCTATCCCATCTACCACAACACATGGTCTACACGATTCTAGCAAGCAACAGTCCCCCCACCCCCAAAAAAATCTACACCCCATACACATCCTCATCGAAAAACACCAATACCGCCTCACTCCCCCTCACACTAACCACTCCATCTTCCACAACCTCAATATCCATCTTCCCCACCGCCTCGCCCTGCGGAAACGACTGCCCCGCCCACGTCGCCACCTTATTATCCTTACTATCCACAAACGGCGCCGTCATCCTCTTCACCCTCACAACCCGCTTACTCTCCTCTTCCTCTTCCTCCAGCACACCCCCCAACCCAACCGTCACTGTAAAATCCGCCGTAGAATTAGCATAGAAGGGATTCATATTCACCAACGCAACCTTGGCCACCTTATCCGCCACATAAAACGCATACGCGGCAAACCGCTCCGCATCCACGCCCTCAGGCGCCTGCAGCGCCCTCACCCTCGTCCCCGCCACCGCAAACGCCTCCGCCATAAACAACTGCGCGAGGAACGACGGCAGCGTGCGCGCGGGGCCCCTAAGCTCGCTATCGCGCGGATAAAGCATCGAATACGTGCTAAACCCCGGACTACCATTTTTGCCTGGCGTATTCACCTGCTCGTTGGACTGCAGGGCGAGCGTGGCGCCCTGGTGCAGGAAGGTCGAGGTTGCGTTGCGCGTGGCGTAGAGGAGTTCCGAGTCTACGACCCAGAGGGCCTGGGCGAAGGTGTCGGTGACGTTGGGGGCGCCCGAGCATGAGACGGAGTTGAATTCGCCGATGCTCCAGCTGCTGTTTGCGTTGAGGGCGGCGAGGGCAGAGGGGTAGATTTCAGAGTCGCAGTAGCGCGTCAGCTCGGTGTGGTTGAGGATGTTTTTGATGGTGGCGAGGGCGGCGCGCTTGGGGTCGCAGGTCGAGAAGGCGTACGAGTGGATCGAGTAGGTGTTGACTTGGTGGGCGGAGTTTATGCCTGCGGGAATGAGGGCGGCGGGGCGGACTTCGAGGCCTGAGTTGTCGGTTGTGGCGGAGGAGGCCCACCAGCGGTCTTGGGGGAGGGTTGAGGTGTTTAGAGTGTTTACAGCGGTGTCTATGCTTGCTGTGTATTCCTTCCATTGCTTCACGTAAGCTTGGGTAGAAAGATTCCATCGGTTCCTGTTGTAGTTTGTGGGTTCGTTGCCGAGTTCAAGGTAGGCGACCTTGTCGGGTTGATATGTCAATGAAGCGACAGCTAGACCCGTGGCAATCTCTAGACTTTCGTTGCCGAAGTTGAGCGTAGATACGAACTTTGTTCCTTCAGGGAAATTGGACCAGCTCTTGTAGTACCCAGGTCCGACAGTCGTTCTCCAGACTCCACCCGTTGGGCTGGTTGTACGCACCACATCGCCCCCATTTGGATCAAATATCATACTGTCCATGGTGATGCCACCAGGCCGTATGACTGGTCGTCCTCCATGCTCATGGATTCTGTCCAGTGCCTTGAATGTAAGCTGATTTGGATTGCTGGCATTCCCGAAAAAGTCGACCCAGAATGCAGGCTCAAAGGAGAATGAAGCAAAAGAATTCGTGTGTGGAATTGAAGCCCCTACTGCTGTTTTTGGAACAATCAAACTCGAAGTCTGCGTACTATCCTTGGTGGGCAATGCGTAGGCAGTGGTTACTGCAATTGAGACAGTGGCGATCCTTAGGTAGGCCATGGCGAAAATGCGTAAACTTGAATCAAGTCGTCCTTCTCGCTGCAACAATGCAGAAGAGACATTATGGCAATTGATATACTTTCTACTCGTACACAAAAGACAGAACGTCACAGCAGTACAACAATCGTGTTGTTTACCGAAACGGGCGATATGATTCCGACGGCCGTGAAATACCCCATTACGCCGGTGTCGACACGGAAAAATTAGTAGCGGATTTAAGGCGAGAAGGCGATGTTGTGGGGGAGCCCGCGGGGAAGAAGGCTAGTGGATCGTCACGGCTCGCCTTTTTTTTTCGCGGGGAACAGAAATGATTATGCCATCGGGTAGGTAGCTGAATTCAGCATCGTCATCTTGGCAACAATTCCAGTTTGCCTGGAACCTGTATGCACTGGTGAAAATGATACCCTAAGATGTGACGTAGTCACAGAGACTACATACACCCTAGTGCTGGTCCTCCGCTAATCCAAAACGACATCTCCTCCGTCTGCACAGTTATGCCGCATCCCTGGTCCGTTAGATGTGCGTTGCATTAATGTATGTCGCAGGACATTGCCGAATACGGGATTTCGTAGACGCTTGATGAGTCTTATACCATGTTGCTGCATCGGCGCTATTACTAATGGTTGCTCTGGAATACATTGGCCTTCACGTGCGTATGTGTGTGTGTGTGTGTGTGTGTGTGCGCATCCATGATACTGATTTCCGGAGATCTCTCCGACCGCATGCTTGACACGCGAACGAATAATTTGTATTGCTGATGCTCCAATAGCCATGGGTAGAGCGCCATTCATTGCTAGTCGATGTCTATGTCCATTGCCAAGTCTACTTTGTTCCCTGCGCGCCATGAGGAGCCCCAGTTCTTCTCTTCATCATGACTTCGCCCATTGCATTTCTGACTTCCCTCTCTTGATGTACCACGTTCTGTACCATGTACTTCTTTAGCGCTTCTCTTAGCTCGCTCTTTGCCCTTTCGTTATCCCTGTAGGGCACGCTTTCTAGTTCCAAGAGCCTATTCACGTCTTTGTTGTTCTCGGCGACAAATTGCCCTAAGCGGTCGAGCTGCTTGTGTATCGCGCCCTCGCTATTGTCTGTAGGCTTTGAAATCTGCGGATCGTCGCGATAGAGTGGCATAAGGAGAGCGAGGAATTGGGTGAGAGATATAGCAGTCTTCTTTATGATGGCAATGACTTGGAATGGGAGATATGCGGGCCGGAGGTTGGTGGATGTAACAAGCGGGTTTAGGTACTTGGTAAGCAACGCAGGGTGATCGGGACGCAGAGCGGTGCGCACTTCAAAAGTTGCGACAGCGAGAAGACTCACGTAGCGCCAGTGTGCACCATCTCTTAAAAAGCCAAGGGCATTTGCACCCATCAAGAAAATAAGCAGGCCGATGTAAGTAATGTACGTAGATGCCAGCGACGCGTCAATGTACTCCTTGATGGTCAAGCAGTCTTGGCACTGCCTGAGGATATCTGGGCCAAAGCGGTCATAGGCGAAGCGCTTCACGGGATCCAGAATGATATCCCGCGCGTGCTTTAAATGCACATAGTAGTTGTTGGCGAGTTCCTGGTCTACATTCGGCCCAATCTTATCCGGATGATACTTGATTGTCAACCTCCTGAAGCGCGAGTTTATACCACTTTCGTCAACATCGATGGGTAATCCGAGATCGTTGTACGCATTGCCGGAAAGCTGCAGGTTGAAATCGACTTCGTAGATGGTAAAGGCAAAGTACGCCGCGTAGACGGCTATGAGGATGTTGCGGCGATGTTTGTTGAAGCGCGGGGTGCCGGGTTGTGGTTTAGGGTCACCAGCACGAATGAAGATGCCGTAAAGGACCGTTTGTATCCATCCTGCAGCCTATGTCGCGTTAGATGCTGTTCCATCTGGAGTCAGGCGGGTTGGACTAACAATGGGTATGAGAAACTGCCACACTAGGAAGGGCAAGATCGCATCGAGCGATGGAGTATTCCTGGCCATTCTCTGGTTACAAGCTGAGTGACATGAAGCAGGAAGAGTGCGCACTATATGGAAAGACAGGTGGCACTGGCGTTGATCGGAACGGTTCCGAACCAAACTATGCAAAGGCACGTGCGCGTGGCAAACACAATACCGCAAGGCTACAATCAGACAGAGTAGTACATTCATAGACAAAAATGCTGTAACAGACTATTTCACAAACATCACAATCAGAATTCATCAGTAGAAAGATTCAATAAGAGAAGACTTTGATATTCAAGTACGTATTCGACGTTTAGTCGAACCATGGTATAATGCAATGCGACGCAAACAATTGCAACATATTAAAAAGAAAAAGCCTACATGCCGGAAAGCATGCAGCTCAACAACTGTCTGCACAAAGAATCCTGAAGCCCGGAATTGGTTGGCGACTCAGCGCCGGGTATATTTTCCACCAGACATAACACATCTATGCATCGGCTTGCCGATTTTCATAGCGCACGCAGCGCGCTCGCTCGCATTCATTGCGACCAGCGCTCACATACTCGCTTTAGCAGAAATGAGGTTTTATGCTTGTCCGCTAGTCTGAGGCATAAGCTCCTCATCCTGTCGGCGCTTCTCCTTGAGAGATCCTGCAGCAGATCGGTTCTCGACATCACTGTCGGAAATGTCATACTGACGTACAGCCTCGGCGATCTGGGCTTCGTCCATCTTGGGCAGCTGCTTGGCGGCATGGACATAGCTGATCTTCTCAGTAAAGCCCTTGGCGAAGATGAGGTCAATCTCTTCAAGGGATCGTCCGGCAGTCTCGGGGTAGAAGAAGTAAATGATGGGAATAAAGGAAGCGTTGAGCGCAGCGAAGAAGAGATAGGTGCCCCAGCCAATGCTGGTGATGAGCACAGGAGTGATCATGACGATGAAGAAGTTCCACAACCAGTTGTTGATGGTGGAGAAAGCGTTGGCCTTCTGGCGGGTCTTGAGAGGGTTGATCTCGGCAGGGTACAGCCAGGGTAGAGGCAGCCAGGTGACACCGAAGAATGCAATGTAGACAAAGAGACCGACAGCGGCACCGGGGGCAGAGACGGTCTTGTCAATCAAGCATGCAAAGGTGAGGACCATGGCAAGCATCTGGCCGACGGTACCGATGAGGTAAAGCTTGCGGCGGCCTACGCGCTCAACGAAGAAGAAAGAAGTCGAAGCGAAGGCGGCGTAGACAACCATGTTGACACCTCCCAAAAGGAGGGCAAGGTTGTGGGAGGTGCCCAAAGCGTCCTGGCAGAGAATTGGGAAGTAGTAGATGACGGCGTTACATCCAGACAGTTGCTGCATGAATTGTCCAGAGGCACCGAGAAGAGCACGGCGGAAGTGCTGCGTCTTTCCACCGGTGAGAAGGGCCTTGGTGGGAACCTTGCCACCACCACCAGAAGCGTTGACGGCATCACGAATGATCTGCATCTGGATGAGAACCTCTGGGTCATCACGGGGAACGCCATTCAAACCAGCCAAGACAGTAGCGGCTTCATCTTCGCGGTGATGGTTGAGCAGCCAGCGAGGGGATTCGGGAAGCGAGGTCATCATGATGATGACAACAAAGGCGAAGACACACTGGAAAGCAATGGGGAATCGCCAGGTGAAGTCGTCGGGGCCGTAGAGACAACCATAGTCGATCCAGTAGGCGATGAGCGTACCAATGGCAACCATGGAACCTTCGATACAGATGACCTTTCCGCGGTTCTTGGCCTTGCAGCACCTGATAGGTGGTTAGAGTCTGTGTAGAGGAAATGGACAAAACTATGGGACACAACTTACTCAGCCTGGTAGGTAGGAATGGTCGAAGTGTTGATGCCGTTTCCGACACCGGTGATGCATCGTCCGACGATGAACTGGGCAGTGGCACCGCCATTAGGAGGGACGCAAGCGATTTGGATAATGACACCAATGACCATGACAAAGGCCCCGAGGAAGATGCTCTTGCGGCGACCGAGCTTGTCTCCAAAGATGAAGATGAAGCAAGCACCAAGGAAACAACCGACAGCGTAGATGGAGACGACAAACCCTTCGTAGGTAGAGTCACCCTTGACCTGAGGGAAGGCGGATTGAAAGGCCGGCGCGGAGATGATACCACTCATGACACCCTGATCATAACCGAAGAGCAGAAAGTCCGTTACGGCAACAATGGTGATGAGGACCTGAAGCATGCGGCCGGACTGGCCCCAGTAGGTGGGCACACCATGTTCGCTCTCTTTGATACGTGGAGGCATGTTTGCGGTGTATCGATGGACAGGTGGAGGAAAGGGAGGAGATGCTGGGGAGGTGGGCAAGCTGGGGAGAAGGGTAGAGCTTTAAATGATGATCCCCAAGAGTAGTACCAGGGTCCTCGGCAAAAACGTGGTGCAGCATGTACAGGCTTGGTCCACTAAAAGCGACGCTACCAAGATGCTGTCTGACGCGTGGAGAAGACTAGATAACGGATTTTTTCAACATCTTGGCCTTGGCTGTTGTTGTAATAACGCCAGGCGTGCAGGCTGGCGGAAGAGGCGCAAATAAACTGTGGAGATGCAAGGAGCCTAACAGGGTCTGTCTGTGGAGCCAGGCTGGCTGGGGCCAATCTTGGAGAAGAGCGGAGGACGCTTGCGGTGCAACAAGCGCGCTCGGCATAGGCTGCTTCTCGTCTTAGGCCCGAGGTTGCCTCCACATTACGTCACGGGTACAAGCATCGGGAGGGTGGTTGAGTAGGGATGCGAAGTGAAGACGGGCGGAGCGTCTGACTTTTGCCAACCGTTGCAAAGCGGGCGGAGCGCCGACATGGGCCAAGAAGCGGTTTGCAGGCAGACGGCCAGGCCGAGTCGTCGGTGTAGCCATACACATGGTTGCGGGGAGGTTGATGGGCTGGCAGTAGACTACCAAGACGCAGGGACTGGGGGATGCTCGTCACCGGTCGTTCACGGGGGCGGGCGTGTAGATGGAGCAGCGATGCCACAGGCACAGGTGCAGACTCGGCCAACATGCCGCAGCGAGGAGGTAGCGCCCTGAGATTTTTTTTGCTTAGAGGCACAGCGGCCATGTCAACATGCGTGCGCCTGACGTCATGCATCGGCGGAAGACAGCCTTCACATGCAGGGTCTGACCAACCGTGCGCATGCGGCTCTGCAGCTTCTTCGCCTTGGCCGCTGATCTTGACTAACAAGGCTCGCAAGTGTGGAGCTTGAACGCACCATGGCTGCAACCGTGACGAGCAACGCTGCCTTGCACACGGGCGGATGCGCTGCCCAAGACGTGTGTGACGGAGAGTGCAGCACCACCACTAACCGCCTCGGGCACAAACCGCTGCGCTGACGACTGCCGGCCGGGAATTTGTCGTGCCTTTCGGGGAGCCCTGTCCAGGCGGCTCGTCCTTGTGTGTGGCTAGAGAAGGTGTAGCAGTATGATGTTGACGGATGGGCCGTCGCCAGTTTTTCCCCGATCCCCAGACTCGCACCCCAAGAAGTTTTTTTTTCCAAAGACGTCACTGCGCCGCAGTCGTCACCACAAGGCAGCATGCCTGGTCAGGAGATGAGGATGAGGAAGAAGAAATGGCTCTCATCCTGCCAATGCGGGATAAGTTGCCAATGGCAAAGGCTTAGCAGACGGTTGTCGAGCACGAGCGTGTCGGCCCAGCGGTTTGCGGGGATGATGAGGCTTGGACAAGCATATGTTGATCCGGCCCGTCCCAAAGAGGAAGGTCCGGATCGCTTGGCGCGCTCTCATCTCTACTGCAGCTCGCACCCTCGAGGATGGCGACGCATGCAGACGCGATGCACAATAAACAAAACAGCAGCCAAAACAGCAGGCGCCCATGTGAGTGCATGTGAAGAGGGAAGGCTCGAGCCATGCGGTCACCTGCCGCCTGCTGCCTGTTGCCTGCTGCCCGCCTACCCCGTCTTTCCCCACGGCCCGCCAGGCCAACTCGGCTCCGTCTCCGTCTCCAGTTCCCCATCGATACTCTGCCGCACACAACAGACATGTCCCCCAACAATACCACCCACACGGAACACACGGCTCTCATCTCTCGTGCTAACACACGCCAAATACACCCAACAAAGCAGGAACCCACTTGGGCTGCCCCCACGAGCCGCTACACGCACATGTTCCTGCCAAGCATCATACCATCTCGAGTACGAGGACCACAAATATGTAATCTGCAATGTCGGTGCTTCCGCCTCTTTGCAGAATGCAGAATGTCCTTCTGATCATCACAATCACGCTTCCTTTTGCATGACAGGCCGGCCCGTGGCCTTGAACATCAGGGTCTGTCCGGTGCCCGCCAATCACCACCGCGCCATACACTGCGCTGTCCACCCCCCCTCTGCCAGCTCCCTCGTTCCAATACCGCTCGCATGCCCTTCTGACACCTTGTTCCACGACACTGGAACTGGGAAAACGGCTATGGGCGCGCGCGAAGCCTGTTTGCGCCCCATCTCCGCCAATCCCCAACCTTTGTCGTTAGCACTCGATGCGAGAGCTAGGGTCGACTATCTGACCCACGCCAGTTCCCCTCCTGCACTCTCAGCATTGGCATTTTGCCGTGCCTATACATATATGCGGTCCATTCGACGCACTTCGATTCCATCCCCGGCTTTTCATGTGCTCGCTGTATTTCGCGCAATCCCAAGCCCAACCCCCCGGTTCCCAAGACTTTGGCAAAGTCCGGTAAATCCATCAGGAGTACAGAGCCTTCTGTATGTGGAGCACCCACAGTCTCCACATTCTGCTACTCTGGCAGTCATGTGTCCCACCATCGTACTTGTCAAGTTGTTCTCCACTATCCACATCGCCTCCATCGTAACCGAAAAACGGTCGATTGGCGGTCAACCGACAACTGCCACTTTTGAGGGTCGCACGATCTCCCCATGCTTTCTGTTGCCAGTTTTGCGTCTGCCTCGATAAGTAGCCGCATTCCCCGTATTGCCAATACGCCCTGTGTTGCACTCATATCGCTCAAAGCATCCTCTTCCCAGTTCTGTCTATACAATCTTCATATTAACCATCACGCTCAGGCTCCGCTACAATATCTTCCCAGTACCATTTCTCGTTCTGGAACACCCCAAGTTGGAGAAACGTCTCTCATCCCACAGCCACCTCACCACTGTACTTGGCCCTACAGTTTTTTCCTCTTCGCCAAGACCCCATTGTCAAAGTATCACGGCTAGAGTGTTCATACGTCCAATGTGGTTATGCTCCCGCCTATAAAATTAGCATTCGGCTCTCCTGCAATTAGTATCTGCCGGAATGGCCTCCATCGAGCAGCATCTGCCACATCTCATCCTTGCGACCTCTTATGCTTAGTCAGTCGGCGCATAATAAGACTCTTGGTTACATGGGTCTTAGACTTTTACACTTCGTTGCTTTTCAAGCTGAAACCAGGGTTAGCCCAACTATAATACGTCACGCTTATCTCATAGCAAACACGGCGCTTTACATGCTAAACTAAAGCTCAAACTAGTCTGCCATCTACATGCCCTAGACGCATTGCACAAGACTCTAGTTCTTTGTTTCTTGTGTGCATAAACACTAGACTTGTCAAACGCTGTTGGTATAATGTACTAAGAAGGGTCTTGTAATAGTTATGCCAGGCGCCGGCGTTTGAACTTGACGAGATTAATCAAGTCGCGAGCGCAGCAACTAGTTTAGAATGCGGGGAAGGTTTGTCGTATGATTAGTAGGTGCCAAGAAGATACAAGATGCTGACATCTGGGCAGTCACTACGCTGTAGTCTTCCATAGCGTGTATAGGGTGACCGTGCAACACGGCGATCGATACATATTTTTGTCATCTAGCGTACCTTAGTATTCCTTAGGCAGCGCATTGCGCTCTTGTTTAATTTCCACATGCTTGAGGTAGTATGAGGCGCCTTAAAAATCACTTCCCTTGTCTTTCTACCTTGATTGAGATGCAGCAAAATACGAACTCGAATCCTGCTCCCAAGGAGTCTAGTCCGGGCCTTTACACTACATGTCACACCAGAATTCTGCCATTGTTGTCGGAGAATTTATTCCATTTACCGAACCGCAACCAAGACATGTTGGGTACATGACTCGAGAGCAGCCACTCACAAGCCATCTCAACTTCTTTGTTAGTCTCAGAAGTGAGTCTAGCAAAAATCACAAACAATTCGTACTGGACCAGGTGAAATTGTCCGGTTGCAAACGGGCCTTTACGGTAGCGTCGACCAAATGCCAAGATTTGCTTGGTGAACCCAAGCCGGCCATGCAGACGCATCCGGTGACAGAATGCGATGTTAAGTGTAGATCCAGTGAAATCGCACAACGTCTCAGGTGTCGACGCATGAAACTTCAGACGGCCGGCCGGCCACGGAAGTTTTTTCTTCTCCATTGTATTTTTCCTCCACTCGAGACGAAACTTGTTCTGTTTGCGTCATGTGTTTTTTTGTTCATAGCATACCAAGAGATTGCCCCGAGCGAGCATGCTCAACCTAGACATGCAATTCATAGCCAACACAATCTGTCCGCCAACCTGAGAGTGAGCAGTGTGGAGGCGAGAACTGGACTGAGCAGCGGGAGCACGGCAACCGCGGGAGTAACATCAAGGTCCACTCGTTTGTGGCACCGGTCCGGCCCATGTTCTACAGGGATACCCGGAGAAGACTCGAAGTTTGGACCTGTATTTGAGTTTGTGTGCTCGAATACAATTGTTTTTACCGGTCATTTTGGTCGCGAAGAGTCCCCATTGGCCCATGCGGCTGTCGGAAGTGCGGTTGTAGTGATATACTATGGTAATACCATGAATGCTACACCAAGTCTGAGAAAAGATTCTAACACTATGCCTTGTCTTCCAGGGGGATGCTTGCGTAGATACGGCAGCATGGCTGATACCAAGAAGCGTAGCAAGAAGGTGCAAAGAAATGGGCTTGCCCAGCGCAGCCGCGGGAGCCAATGGCCAGCAAACTTCGGGTCAGATATCGGCAGTACCTGTATGTCTTGCAGGGTGTTTGTGTTTGAGACTCTGGTTGTGGCTGATTTTAGGTGGTTATCTTGGGCCCCGGCGCCCGGGATAAGTACGTCGGGCTTCGGGGCCAGCATGAAGCCCGCACAAGCTGTCACACGTACTGAACAGGCCGTGAACGACACCAGAATGCGCTCGAGAGCAGCCTCACCGCCCATTTGCAACCAGCTGCCATCCATCGGAATGGAGAGTCCGATGAGTGTTTCGGCGGCGCGGCGATCGATGGGTGCCGCAAACGCCATGCGCTCCGTGCATCAGCTGCGTACATGGATTGCCTGTTGTGTACTGCCTCTGCTGCCGTCGTACATACGTGTCGCTGATATGAGGCCACAAGTCGGGTGAGGCATGAGAAAGAAGGTTGAGTGCAAGAGGGGGGGGGGGGAGAGACGAAAGCCACAGGCTGACATTCGGGCCTTAGCGCCATGAACGCATAGGGTCCGGATTGGTAAATGCGGGTCCAATCGGTTCTTTGAAGAACTTTGTATGGCTCCGTTGCAAGCCACGGCCAGTCGTCGACACGGAGAACGCCAGATAGGCACTCGACATGTGCGCCTCGTTCAACTCCAGAAGCCTGTCGCCCTAGCTGCATAACGTCTGCCATCCTGAAACACTGTCTTTTGCTACGGGGCGCCGCGGGGTATTCTTAGTCCCACACGCCCTCGAGCCCTCAAAACCACACTGACGCACTCCCCCAACTCGCAGAGCACACAAAGCTCGCTCTGCCGCCCGTCATCTTTTCGCCGGCCTCTGGATGACTATGCAGCATCGGTCCCAGATCCTCAATCGACTCTGGCTGCGACTCAATGGCGAACAGCAGGTAAGTAGTACGAGTAGTGACTGCGCAACACATCCACAGCCCCCGGCAAACTAACTGGCCATGCCCAGGTATGAATATGTGCGCTTGTTTGAGCAACCCGACATCCTCCTGGCCAACACATGGATCGTCGTGCGAATCGATGGCCGTGGCTTTTCAAAGTACGTCCTTGATCTATTTATCCTTCTTTTCACCCTTACAGCCATGTCCTTTCTCGTGCTGCTAGTAGTCTGCGTCCGCCAGTGTATGCAGGTACCCGTCACCTGATGCATGAGCGGATAATGTTGCCTCAGGCCATCCTCTCGGCTATTCTACAATACCAAGCACTCCTCGCTGATACCATGCCGCTAGGTTCACGACCAAATATAACTTCACCAAACCCAATGACAAGAATGGCATCGATGTCATGAACGCCGCGGCTAAGGCTGTCATGCAAGAAATACCCGACCTTGTCATGGCATTCGGCAATAGCGATGAGTACAGGTGCGCCCTCCCCGCCTCGTTGGCCTGCGCCGCGTTTGAGGGAGATTGAGCTTCCCGTAGGGCTTAAGCCCGCCCGCCTTTTCTTTCTCTACACGGCCAACGTCCGCGTTTCACAGACCCGCTCAGCTGACGTGGGCCGTAGTTTCGTCTTTCACAAGGACTGTACCTTATTTGAGCGACGAGCAAGGTATGCAAGCACCACCATTGGCCCAACTGCGTTTTGCCCCTACTTCCCATTCCGTTGCTGACCCGTCTGTAGCAAGTTGACTACTACAATCGTTTCGACTTTCACTTCTTACTATGTTTATTCTTGGGCCAAATACTTCCCGCAAAAGCCTCTCACGCCCCCACTGCCCTCTTTTGACGGTCGCGCCGTCTGCTACCCAAGCAATACCAATCTCCGCGACTACATGAGCTGGCGCCAAGTTGATTGTAAGTAACACGCCACACCGTTGTTCCTACCATTTGCAGTTTGGCCCCTGTAATTTCTCAAAATTCATTGCAATTGTTCCGGTGGGTCTAATGGAAATCCAGGTCACATCAACAATCTATACAATACCACATTCTGGGCTCTTGTGCAGCAGGGCGGTATGGGTCATCGTGAAGCTGAAGAAAGACTAAAAGGGACGGTATCATCCGACAAAAACGAGATTCTGTTCAAAGAGTTTGGAATCAACTACAACAACGAGCCAAACTGCTTTAGGAAGGGGACCGTGCTATACCGAGACGTAAGTCATACTAACCTACAGTCGATGTCTTGAACAGTGACACCTGACATTGGCAGTTCTTCCCCCCAATATCACCTGAAGAGTTGCCAACCCCCATGTTTTCGGAATTCCCTACACCACCCCTCGCTCAACCAAAACCCACGAGGGTGTCGAAAGATCAACTGTCTAAATCTATCGAAAAGGCTGTGACTACTTTGCCAGAGTTGGATACTTCTGTGGCATCGCCAGATTCCTGCTCGCGTCCAACATTTCTCTCAACCACGTCGACTCCCTCGCCGCCACCATCACCACCACACATGTCGAGGGCAGCATTTCCCAACCCGCTCCGCTCCAATCCTATCAGCACTCGGAGTAGTGCTAATGTTCCCGACTCTTCTTTCCCACTTTCACCACCATCGACTGCCACCTGGGCTAGTAAACCGCAGTGCAATGGCAAGCAGCCATTACCCTCGCTAACGCCTCTGCCTCTTTCTCCGCCAACGCTGAAGCCAAGCACCAAGCCTCCGATGTCTCTGAACGCACCGAATCCAACCACACGCACAAACTTCTCACCGACAACACCACAGCATGACTTTCCTGCCGATTTCCCGATAGCAGGATACCGCCACAAAACCTCGTTGTCAGTTAACCGGGGCATCTCACACTCTGCTTCGGCTTCCCTCACGACAGCACAACTACCACAAGATCAGCATCCGGGACTCAAGCGACGCTCACCTAGTCAGCCATCGCTCCCAACATACTTTGATACGGCTGCCAGAAGCCAGACAGGGCCGCCTTTCATACCTTTGCGTATGTCAAGCATCCCCGCCAATAATAAGCCCAGGAAATTGTCACTGCCTGTTCACCGATCATCTAGCACACTGAGAGCCACCAGAGGCACAGATGAGAAGGAGAGCGGGGCGAGTCCTAACGAGGCAGTTTCCACACCGCTCCGCAGAGTCAGTCCTCCAATGCAAAAGAACAAGGCCCTACCAAGTCCACCGATGAGCGCAGAAGAGGAGACGCGGACACGAGAGAAGGTCATGGCCAGCAGCCCGAAGCATGACTGGAACAACTATTCCATGGTCTACAACGCCGCTGAGCAACCTATACGGAGAGCCAGTGGCTCTGAGAGTCAAGCCGGCCGAGCCTGGACCAGCGAGCAGGCTCCACACCCAGGCATCCCCGAACTCCCCGCCATCTCAACCCAACTCCCACCCTCCGCCTCCAGCACCACAAAATCCCCCCTCACATCCGCGTCCCTCCAATACCCCCACCCAACCCCAGACATGCACACCCTCATCTCCTCCACCGCCGCCCCATCACCCCCAAAATCCCAACCCTACGCCACCACCCAGCCCTTCCCCAGCAGCAACACCACCATGCCCCTCCGCACCAATCCCCCGCCCGCCCTCACCAAGCCCAAGAATAAAGACACCGTCTCTCCCAAACAACCAAATGACTCCCAGAAGCGCAGACACCCAGAGTCGAAGCGGAAAGAAGGAAAGAGAGGTACTACTACCAGTGGTGGCGATGAAGGACGCCCCGTCAACATGAGTCGTTCGCAACGCGATAAAGATCGCAAGAAGAGGAGTAAAGCGGCGATTCTCATGGAACATGTGGATATTATCAAGGATGATTTTTGGGATAAGCGGCCCTGGCTTCTGAGTGGGAAGACGGCGTGAAGAGAAAGTTTGCGCAATTAAATCACGGATTTTTTTTTTTTTCATTTTTTT